CACCAGATTAGGTGGATGTGAAGGTAGGATAGAATCTTTTCTGTGGCAGCAGATTATAGAACTTCCTGTTTAAGAGGTAAGATTGGCCCTATCTTGGCCAACTTCAGGTTGGTCATCAGAGCAGATACACTTGGGTGATGGTTTGCTCTATTTTAAATTTGGTTTGCTGTTTTCACCCTCAAGACCCTTTTGGGCAGAAGTGTGATACAGAAGTAGTTCAATAAATAAATAAATAATCTTGGGATCCCTCTTTCTACAGTTCTGATGTTGAGCAATGGATTGCCTGCTTGCTAGAATTGCAAATGCTACTTGACTTCACTTGTACATATGTAGATAAACATAATATTACAAATAATGTGTAAGTGATCGATCATCTCACAGGTTTTTCTTAATTTGTTATTGTCCTTGTATCCAAGCTTCCTTCCATCATAAGCTCAAGGTCTCTCTGTGGGATTCCCAAATATCAGTGATTAGACTTGGTGCTTTGGTGCCACATAGTAACCATCTCAAGTACCTTCAGACCATGTCCTGATAGTGCTTGCTCAAGTTGTTTCCCCTACTACATCTTCCAGAACAGCCATTTCCTACCTGTTGCCTTTCAGATGTGTGGCACTACAATTCCCATCAGCCCTAGTCAGTCTAGCAAATGGTGCAGGAAGCTGGAAAATGCAGGCCACAACATCTAGAGGGTTCCTGGTTGTCTCCTTATCCCAGATGACTAAGTTATTAAATGATGCAGTCATATGGATAACCAGTATAATGTAACAAATTGATGAGGAGAATTCAGTAAGAACAAGGGGCAGGGTTATATTGCTGTATTACAGATGTGGAAAGTATAGATTTTCAGTTTTCACTGATGTGCCAGCATAAAAACCCTTTGTCTTTGAGGCGTATCCCTGGTCAAAACATATCAAGCAGTCTTTGTATAATAAATGGTTGATTTTAAGCACCAGCATCTTCCTCAATGGGGCACATGGGAAGATGATCGCCCTCTGTTTCTCCTGAGGAGAATTCAGTAACACAATCAGTATTGGTTGAAAATGCAGGGGACTCAGGGTATTTTAAAATCCCCCTACCTCTGCAGAGCCAGCTCTGCTTTCTGTTAGGGAAAGATGATTCTGCTTCGGGCAGCAATATGTCTTCATTGGACCCTGTCTCAAGAAGCCATGGTGGCTTATGGGCCAGGCAAGGCTTGTTGTGCTGTATGAACACAGCACAGTGGTTTGCTAACCAAACACAAGCAGGGTTCAGATGACATGATAAAGTACTAAGGTTTATTGGGGTGTGTGGACCAGTCATTGCGAATAGGTGCTGTAAATGAGTGACTTTTCCCCAAATGCTTATATGGAAACTGTGATAAATTGCTACTTGGTATATAGTCACCTATACGTAAATGCAAATTATTACCACGCAGCTGGTTTCCAGTCAAGGCAAACAATAGATCCTTTTAAAACCAAGCACTATGTGGAAAAAATTGTAAGTCTTTAGAGAGCCACAAGACTCTTACATTGCAATCCCTTACATGGATACTCAGAAGGAAGCCCCGTGGAATTAAATGGGGTTTATTGCCAGGTAAGGGGATATGGGATTGCAGCCATAGATGTTTTGCCTTAACTCTGGTTTCTCTCCAGATTGTATAAATCTTTCACCTCTTTCTTTCGCCTTAACTTTTTTATTCTTCAAGTTCTGTTATAATAAGCAAAAAATGGAGAATGACAGCTAATCACCCACTAGAAAGGAAAAAGGATTGTAGTAAAATTATAGTCACATTTGCTTTTATTTCTCCACTCTCTCTGTATTTTAGAATATAAAAAGGCTTAAGTTCATGCTGTTTATAATATCTGCTTGTGTGTGTGTTGGAGTGATTTTGTTTTATGCACTAACTTAATTATCTCATGTACACAAAGGAATTTGTGGTTGGCCGTCGACATGCTTGCAATAGAGATCCAGCATAATTAGCGAAATTCCCATGTTTGAGAAGTTGCAGATGCCATGTGCTAGTGGGACTGGAAATATTCCTTAAAACTTAAATTGAATTGTCAGAAGAGTCCTTCATTAATATATAATGGCTGCACAGTACTCACTCTCTTGCTGTATCTGTTTTTGCGAATAGCATTTGCTATTGAAATGCTAGTGCAATTTACCAATTTATCCAGCACATAAACATTAACCTCCGAAGACGCTAAAGGGATCACCCCCTGTTGACCATTAAGTTTACCATGCACATACCATCATAGGCACTGGTTTTGTAAAACTTTGATCAGAAAAATGGTTTCGTGATTTTATAAATGGCTGCCTCTTTCCCAGTGTCTCTGTTCTGCTTCTTCCTTCCTCCATGTTTTCTTTCATGTAATTTTAAAGTGAAAACATATGACTGAAGCACACACCCCTGTGCATTTATTCAGCTGCACCTACTTATTCAATTTAAATCGGGAGGAGAGTTTACTAACTTTCAAAAATAAATCCTGGACCAGCACAAAAGATTGTATAAACACAGGTCTGATTTCATTTCTACTTATTTTTTTTAAAGAATTCATGAAAGTCAGGGAAGTGGGTAGGGTAGAATAGGCAAAAATGTTACAAATGCCTTTATACTAGTAGGGAAGGCAGGAGAGGAAAAAGAAATGTCTTGGAACGTGGTTGCTTTAAACTTGGAAGCTTCTCCTTCCTTCTAAGGGCACAACAAAATTAACAGGCCCTGAGATAAAACTGAGAGTTTAAATTAATGGCTTCTGGCAAACTGTCAAGTAGCATTAGCTCTATCATTCAACACGTCAGTTTGAAAAAAAATCCACATAGGACATTTGAATGTTAGAATCCAGATTAACTGATTAAAAGAATCCCACTTTTATCTTTGAACATACTGCTTTATACTGGAATAACTGTCTAGTAATCCATTAGCTTTATGTTGGAGAGTATCATGAAGCATACTCAAGGGGGTGACTTTTGGAATACATCAATTTAGATCTTGGGTCAGACCAGTATCTCCCTTCTATTGATGGGAGGGCTCTGCTCACAGAATGTGCCTCTGACCAGTTTTGTTGGCTTCCCTTCACTGCAGCCCATCCTGTTTCAGGGAGATGGAGGATTTCCATGGAGCAGATAGGGTCGGGAAGTCTGCTTCTGCCCCTCTAATTGCATGTGTCTAAAACTGGATTCAAGCCCTCATGTTTTTAAAGGTGAATTTTAATCTCATGATACCATAAAGTGTCTCAAATCAAGCTACCCTGGACCTAGATTAATCCCATATACTTATAAAAAATCAGCAAAACTTAAGAAGTTGATATTCTTTACCTGACAGGAATCTTTTATCTAGATTATAATCTTGTATCTTATAAATCTCTATGAATTATAAGAGGATAAAAGCTTTCACCAAACTAGAAAAAATGGTAACTTTAAGGCACTTTGAGAAAAAGGCCTACTTCTTAAAGTTTTCTAACCATCCATGTTGTTAGTTGTAGGGGAACTTTTTTCCCATCCAAACATATGTAGGACTGCACCCATAGCCAATAGCAAAGAACAAAGAGCCTTGTCAGGGTCTGTGACTCTTAAGTCAATTGGAGTTTAAATATTTAGAAAATAAGTGGAGTGACCCTTCACAAGAGTGGTAATCAGTGATAACACAATCATTTAGTGTTGCAGAATAAATTAGCGCCTACAGTGTGAAAGCAAGCCACAGTCATGGTCGTTGCATCACATGTTGTGTTCAAACAAATATCATAAGAAAGAGGAGGGAAAGAAGTGCGGAGCAAGAGGGTTTCACTCCAGGGAGCTTCAGCCAGCACCTGTCACAAGCATGATTGTCAACACAACTGTGTCACTCAATCCCAGAGTCAATATCTCATACTAAATTATGCCTCATCACATTCTCCAGAGAAATGGCCCTGTTATTTTATTTGTAAAAGTTATATTCCACTTTATAGCCTACACAAAGTGCTTCACAACATCCGCACAACACAACTATAATTATAACTGTACAGCTCATACAGATAACTATCTAAAATGACATAAACATCTAAAAGGATGCCGTTAGTCTTTACTATGCTAATTGTTAATGCCCTCTAGTTTGCTCTCATTTCACTGCTCTGAATATAGTGTGTGGGGCAGAAAAAAAGGAGAACCTGAGGGGAGATTTACCTTTTAATCCAGCTCCTGAAATTAAGTCTTTATTACATTATATATCAACTGAATAAAATTGCCTTTGAAATCTGTCGGGCCTCAATATCTGTTGTGAGCCCTCTTTTTTTCAGAAAACGTAGTAAAGCTGGCATGGGGGTTCTAAAGCCAGAGGGAATGACAAAATGGTGCATTCCACGGAGAGACGCTCCAGCCCGAGGTAATATTGATGGTTTGTTATGCTAGGAAGGAAGGTTTATGGGCATCTCTGGTAACTGGTGCTGTGACCTGTGCTCACATAAATTTGGAGTTAGAAGCAGACTGCATTATGTGACTTTGCTGTCATACAAAGAATTTCCTTTAGTGAATGCCTGAGGTAATTCTCAGATGGAAGAGCCAAATTATTCTTCCTGAGCTATAACTAATAAAAAGGACCTCATCCTGGCTTCTAGTCTACCGAGTGTCTACCAGCTGGGTTCATTTAATAACATGGAAGTCGTGTGACTCTGTCTGCATTCAGTAATGTTGATGAATTATCCTTTGTTGATGACATATTAAAATCACAATTCTACACTGGGTAAGATTCAGTGAATTTAGTTGCATTAGCAGAGGGTAAATGGCCTCAAGAGTGTAACACAAGTGTGTGAGATTGATGAGAGTATCAGTGTTGTGCAATTTCCATGAAATTATAATCTGTCAAGGCTAACTATGTGACAGCTGCTGTTGCAAAGATGGTACAGACATTTTTGATCAGCTTATGCAATTGCCTGTTTTGAGGAAACAACCCCTTAACTTAGCTCTCCATCATACACGAAATATTCAGCTGCAGTATCCCAGAAGAGAAAGGAGGAAAAGTTTAAAACAGCCACTTGATTTCTTCTCACCTGTTTTTATCCAAGATTGTATGTCAGTCCTACACATAGTGTAGTCAACGTCTCTCATGCCATTAGGTTTCACAACCAAAATCCTTTTTTCATCCCTCTGTACTGCCATGGTGCTGCTGCTCTGGGGTTTCTTTCCATCTGTGTTGGCTTCTTCAAATGCTGACAAAGCAAGGAAGCAATGGATCTTGGGCATTGACCTTTTCTTGGTATTAATATAATATCAATGTAGGAATAAGACATCTATAAAACAGACCCACCAAAAGGAGATCAGTATGAGGTCTAGAGTGCTTGACTGGAAGCGCAGATGAAAGCTGCTGTAAGGACAAAATAGTAGCTATCAGGCAATCCTTGAACACAGTCCTAAACTCCTTGGAGAAAGGGCTGGAAAAAATAGCAATGATAACATGGCAGGGGAACTCTGGCTACCAGTGTGGACACTACTGGACTAAAATAGGCCAATGGTTTGACTCAAGGCAAGGCATCTTCCTAGAGTCCTATGCTGCCTTGGCATTCTTGCTTGAAGAAGAGGGATATAAGCGTAACACATTATCTTTCAGCATCACAGTAATTAGTACAGCATCAATAAATGTGCATTAGGACTCAGTGTTAGCTCTATTATAAGATCTCCTGTCTGTGAGTATCATCTTACTGTGCAATGGGGAAGGTCCCCAGAGCTGGGATTGCAAATAATCCTATGGCTGCCTGGCCAATGTGGGGAAACAGCTAAGGGATTGCACCCTTAGCCACCTAGGAAGATTGTATTATACCAGCAAATAGCCACTTTGTCACGTAATTTATATTAAATACAATGTACCATAGTGTTGTTATCTGATTCATATTAAGACTGTCTTTTATATCTTCAGTATGTTATTCCAAGTGATCTAGTTTCAAACCAATCCTCAAGTATAGTTCCTATGCAGCTTTTTATTTCAATGCCATCTACAAACCCATGAAAAAGATGCTTAAAATATTTGCCAAACCCAGTGGTTGAAAGATGAGGGTTACTCTGTTTCCGCTTCCCCAAGATCTCATTGAAAGATTATACTTTAGGCCCATTTATAATCATAACGAACCCCACAATTAGCAAGCAAAATGCTTGCTTGTCAAGGTTTATACGAATAGGCTCAGTTAATTCTCTGAATACTGCTATTGAGTGCATTTTCCCACATCCTGAATGTTAAATCTTGAAGTGCATCTCTAGTTTTAATTTAAATATTAAAGAGAAAGGTTTAATAAGTGGAAAGAATTTGGCGACAATCTTTTGATTCATAGCCCAAACAGTTTGTGTAAGGATTTGAAGAACGGCGCTTTATCACTATCAATGTCTCTTTGCTCAGGTTCAGCTCATGGAAATTCAGGCCATGCTCTGGGACCGACTCAGGGTACCCCAGGTGAGAAAGTGAGATACAGGTACTGGCAAATACAAATGCAGATGTGCTTCTTGGTGCACACCCATGTCTACAACTGAGTCACACTGAACTGATGGATGCATCTTTTGTTATCCCTCCTTCCCTTTGACTTTTAAAGGCCCTCTTAATACAATACTGATTCCTCAATGGTTGCCATGCATTTAAAGTTTTTTTTCCAATCAGTGAACCATTTCTATTGCACAGATATTGGATTTCCTTGGCAGTTAAACTACAATACTTCATTGTATAAAAATCTTCACCTTTACAGCCAAGATGTCTTTTCAAATATAATTGTGTAAGTGTGGTGAGCACCTATCAGACTGCCTTTTTATCAATTTTGTTCATTTAAAATGTTTATTGGCTGCCTTGCAGAGCAAAAACCCTCCCAAGGCAGTGTGTAATGTAAAACATGTAACAGAAATGATATGGTACTTAAAAAAAGTAAACACACATGTACACATGAACATATGCACTCATATGTGCTCACATGCACATGTGCACTTACATACTGAGAGAGAGAGAGAGAGAGAGAGAGCGTGCGCACACAAAATAGCAAATATCACAAACATTCTAAAAACAGCAAGCACCCGCATAAAATAACAGACAGAAACCTGGAGCTAAAAACCCAGTATATAGTAAGTTTTCAGGGCCTCCTTAAAAGCCTATAATGACATTTTTAAAATATGAAATGGATTCTTTCTCAATACTTGACCCAGTTTCAGACATCTGTCAGCTTCTTCTTCTTTACTTTAGTTTTCACAGGTAACAAGAGTTAAATGAAGTACATAAAAAGAGATGTGCATATACACAGAATAGTGAGCTGAAAGATAAAACAAGGATGTGTCCCACAAATGGACAGAGTGTTGGAGCCAGCTGACTTAAATACATGGCTTCATGGGATGCCTCCCAGACTACAGGGTGCTTGTCTGGAATCCGTCATGAAAATGCTGTGGGACAAGCAGGATCCATGCAACTAACCTAAGTTGAATCTGCATTCTGACATTTTTTAAAATGTTAAACTGTGTGTGTGTGTGTGTGTGTGTGTGTGTGTGTGTGTGTGTGTGTGTGTTTAAAGTCCTTCCTGCACTAATTATATACTTTGCAGAAGAACTGTCTTTTCCATTTAGTTGAAAAGGAGATATGCTGTGTGATCTGCAATTGCCTGTAACTATTTTATCATCAACCATACAGACAGCGTAATAGTTACACAAAAGAATTCCTTTTTGTCTACACATAATAAATAATGTAGAACAGAAGTTTTTACATTTCCAGTGTGTATGTTTCCATGGAATGAGGAGATCTATGGGTCTGTTGTTAAGGATTAATGGCTAGATCACTTCATAAATATCGTGTAGGGAACACAACAGCTAGTACTGAAACTATGAAGAGCGTTGATTAGAATATTTGTGCAGTTGGTTCATTGCTCCAAGCACTAATTAGGGCTGCATCAGTGAACATTCCTATTTATTTCTTGCACAAAAGCCATGTTTTGTCTGCAGCATATTCTGGCAGGCTAAATTTAGTGCTACCAGGACAGAGGCATAGCCTTAGGTCGCACTTTAATTTGCTGCTTTTTGGAGTATGGTAACTAAGGACCACCTTTCTGCTTTAGAGCAGGGATGTTGTTGCGCTCTGACACTCTCTGCTTTCTGGTCTTTAACCAGTTACTCATCCACAAGATGACCCATCTTGTGACTGCTAAGTTTGCAGACTTTGGTGGATATTATGTCAAAACTTTTTGGAAATCCACAACCATCTGCTTCTTAACACAATCAGATAATTCCATAGGTTTGATTAGGGAAGACTTTGCAGAAGACCGTTTAATTTCTTGACAATAATTCTAACAATGCTTACCATTAAATTAAATGGGGCTGATGAAAGGCTAAGGGGTCTCTAATTTTCTGTCACCATTGTAGATCCCTTTTGATATTATGTTAGTTAACTTCTAGTCCTTAACTAAGGAGAACAGTCCCATTGACAAATTGCATGCTGTTGTAAGATCAACTCTTTCACATTTAAATTATTTAAGAATTATTGAATGTAAGCCATCTGCTCCTGGTTACTTGTTAATTTTTAATTTGTACATTAACCCTAGAATCCATTGCCTGTGACTTCTTTTTGAGTTACTTATCTGGAGCCCTTGTTCAAGTTGCGTAACTGTCTACTATCTTCTGTGGTAAAAACTGCTTCATTTGGCTTGTCTGCAGCCTCCCAATTCACCTTCAGTAATCTATCTATGGACACCTTTATTATCAAAAGCTCCCATCAGCTGTCTGACTAGTTGATATCCAAAGCAGTATTATGACAGAACAAGCTGAGCAGCACTAGAAAAATGAAAACCTGAGTGAAATCAAGCCTGAGAGATTTGCTGCCCCTAGATTTCTTCATCACTGTGTCACATGGAAGAGACTTTTATATGCAGTGATTGGTTAGCATGAAATTGAGCATAGCCTGTGCTCTGCAGATTCATTTTATTCAGCTTTCCATGAAAAAGTGCAATATTCCCCAAAGCAGTGGGAACAGATGTCTGTTTTCAAGCTATTGGTAGCCATAAGTAATCTGTTCTTCTACTACCTTGTCAAGAATATTATTAGACAGGATCTAGAAAAAGTCAAAGGCAATGATCCTCTTGATCTCTCAGATACTAACAGCACAAGTTTTGAGATCTGTATGTGGAGAAACAAGCACAGACCAAAGCCTTTCCTGTCACCCATGAAGACAAAATATCTTTAATAGACCTACAGATGGTAGGATGAGGGCATGGATAAACTGCTGAAATACCACCCAGAGATGTGTTTCCTACATTACTCCTTTTGGGGATGGTTGCTATCACCTTTGAGGCCAATATGGAAGTGTTGGCATGTGAAAGCAATACAGAAAAATTAAGCACCTAGTAAGTTTCTTGCATCTGGTGGGAGAGAGTTACAGAACATGCTGATAAATCCCACTGAAATAACTGGAAGTTTAGCAGCTTGACTAGACCATAATTTAAAACCTTTAATAGTAATAGGTAATTTCCTGAATATCAACTTCTGCTTCACAACCAAAATGTTTTAGAAAATATAGTTACATGCTGCATACCAAGTTCTATAAAAATATACCTTCATATATATGCATGTATACCAGCTGTAATAAATGTATTTATTTTTATGCACTAGTTTTCTTGCAGAAAGAAAAATGTCTCCTGAAACTATTGAAGCTATCAAAAATCCCCTTTATCTCCGTGAGTCTGTTACAGATGCTATTATCCCTGCAGCACAAGGGCTTGCTTCAAACAGTCTGCTTTCCTGTCAGCAGGACTGATACAGTATATTATAACAAGCATCCTCCATAACAACTGTTCACAGGCAGTGTTTGTAGCTTTACATGTGCAGCCTGCGAGAATCCTTGCCAGCATTATGATGCTTCTGCAGTAGCTGTTCCAGTAAACTGGATCTAATTAGACTTTCTCCCCCACAGCCTGGGTGTTTCCTTTTCCCCTCTCTCCTTTGTATCCTATGTGGAGGCATGTCTTAGGGAAGAGAGGGTTGGGAGAACAGAAGTATGTGTGTGTGTAAGTGGTACAAGGGAATGTGTGACCAGCATTTCTTAAACTTGCATTAAAAATCTCTATATTAAAAATATAAATGAAGGGTTATGTTCTTCTAATATTGGTTGAAGAGAATAGTGAATATTCCCAACCTTTCAGCATATGATTACTTGCTGTTTCAGAAATTTTAATCTGTAAAACAAATTTTGAAGACAAGCTAGGATTCCTTATTGTTATTTGTATGCTCTACAGGCATCAAAGTCAGATGAAGTATAGTTTGCTTGCACTCAATGAAAAGGAGAAAGGTCTGAATGTAGTACATGTGTTCCTGTGTGACTCATACTGTAGAAAGCATAATCTTTTTCTTCTCAGATTCTTAAGTTGATGTCATGCTTCTGAATGGTAAAAATGATAAGAGCAAAAAGCTGTCTTTTACTAGGTTAGACTGTTTGTCCACCAAGCCTAGGCTTGTCTAATTTGGTAATATGACTTCTGGGTCAAATTTCTATAAAATGAGAAACTATCCATGAATTCTTTGCATATTTTATTTTCATTTTGATTTCCAACTCACACACATCTGGCATATTTTACATCTTTGCAATAAAACATGGTTACAATAGCTTAAGGAATTTATATATCCAAAATATTTCACCATGATCTTGAGATGAAATGAACTTATCTTCCAGATGTTCAATATTCTCCCAATTCTAAGCTACAAACTCAAGATATTGCTTACAGACCAATGATGAATAACTTAATCATTACATTGATTCCCCATGATTTCAGAATCGTATAAATACAAACAACAATGAAGAAGGTATTTAGTGCTAAAACTTACTAATACAAGGTGAATAACAAATAAGAATCACATCAATAAATAATGATATGTTTCTGGTGCAAAGTGCCAGTACAAAGAATCCATTATCTTGTTTTATCTTTTTTAAATAAATGACTGCAAGTGAGTGTAAAGTCTGAGAAAATTACATTCCTGTTACATGCCTCATAGCCCTACCGACACAATATGTACATCTATGACAATACAGTCACCAAATATACAAAGAAGAAACATGAAGTAAAGTGTATATACCCCTGGGTATGTTACTTGATGTGTGGCAAATTATCCTGATAGTCATCAATACAGTATTGTTGAACAGGAAGTGCCTTAAACGGAGAATGTGACTGCAACATGTGATTTTCAGAAGAATGTAAAAGGACGACCCCAATGAAGCTAAGTTTGCTTTTAACCAAGCTTTATTCCCAAGGAAATGAAGAGAAAATCTTAATTGCTCTTTCCCTGCAATGTACAGTATGCCAAATGTGATGAATCTAGAAGTCTAGCACTTTTGCTTTGGAGGAAGTAATTAAGCACTGTAGCATGGCATCTCTTCCGTGCTCCCACCTGTCTATCCTATTATTAAATTGTTAAGGGAAGAATTTCTTTTTCTTTTTATAATGCATAAATATGGCAAACAATGGCTTCATATCCAAATGCTTCATGTCATGAGCAAAACTCCACTTAGAAGGGGTGGCTTGAGATCAAAAAGTGCAAACCAGGTTTCAGTGGCAATGACAAAACTTTGGTTTGCACCCCATTTCAAGCCTTGTATACAAGCTGGGCCCTTAGGCAGCTGTTCAGTTCAACCTGCGAATGTGGCTATTTCATCAAGACATCAGGTTTAAAGTACATGCAAGTTGTAACTCCACAATAAAATTAAGAAACATTTTTGTTCTTTATACAAGGTTTTACTTTTACAAAAGTATCCCTTTAAAGTTAAGATGTGCATCTGATGTACAAAGTATCAAACGTAGTTTTTTTTTTAATTATTTTTCAGCTTGAAAAGAGGCTGGAAATGGGAAATGTATGCTAGGCTGATGGCCCAAACAATATAACAACCAGACACAAGGTTCCTCAGAATATTCAAAAGTCTCTTGTGATGTGTTCTTCTACCTTTTCTTGGTAAACAAAGGTATATGAAATAATTACCAAAACATCTCCTAAGTCATTATAATTTACATGATACAAGCTTGCTTTTGCAGCAGCTGGTGTTCAGTTGTGAATAAACACACAAAGTAAAATGGTGGCTGACTACAATGTACAGCTATTGCTGGGTGTAATGGAATGTACAACAGAGGTCAATGCAGATTTGTTTTTCCACCAGAGATTATGCCTTTCAGTAGCACTTGTGCTCTCAGTTTCATCTTTGCTTTCAGTTCTTCAATCCAGCTCAATATCTATTCTGATGTTCATAATGCCACCGATTAAAATCTATGTTAAAAGCTACAATGCTACCAGAAGCCATGCCAGTAATTAGAGTCCTGAAAAAGAGACAGAAATGGACTATTCATGTGATTTTTAAAAAAAATCATTCTAGGCAGGTTTTCAGGTCCCCAAACTATCCCAGAAATAGCAGGCAGATGAAAGTACAGAAAGAAATGAGATATTCCACAGAATAATCTAATATATGGCATAACATCACAGACATATTCCCTAGAAGCCTTTACAGATTAACCCCCAAAAACATGGAAAGACGAATTTTATTGGGCAGTTCAACAAGAGAATGAATTACTTGGGAGCATGGAAACATTAAAATGCTCACTGTTTCTCAGATAGCAGCTTACCTCTGATCGTGGGACAGGTCCATTGCCCTAATGCCAGCATCACAGCCAGGGTAAATATAGAGCTGCTTGAAGTCACAAGCCTGCCATACTTCTACCACCCCATTATCGCCACCTGTAACCAGGTTCTGTCCATCACTGCTCAGGAGGATAGCCTGCAGAAGAGCCAAAGGAAGAAATAGCAATACTGTAGGAATTACTGTAACTCACTTTTTAAGCTGAGTATTTCCTTGTTTAATAGGTTGCTTTTTAAAGCAATAAAACAAATGTGAAAGCAATAAAACCTATCTGAAAAGTGTTGAATAAAGAGTGGTTATTTTGATATAAGCTGGAGCAAAGGGGGTTTTGCTAAAGTCACCACATATCATTTCTGGCTTTCCCTTGTAACAGCAGGTGCCATCACTAACAGCCCTTTGCTCTCCTTGAGGTGTGGGTGATGGATCTTACTCCTGAGGGCCTTGTATTCATGACTTGGCTCCCAGTCAAAGGAGGACAGATGTCAAGCCATGTAAGCTTTTAAAGTCCAGGCACTTAAAATACCTTTATGTCTAAAGCAGATATCCAGGAGTTCTTGTGGATGAAGCAGTCCTTTAAAAACTAAGAGTTCTAATTTTAATTGCAGATGAGAGATTTTCCTTGGGAATGTGACTTTTCCTGGTGGCACTCATTGTATGCTAATTTTATTTTTTTTTCCACCAATGCATAGTATGAGATACTAAGAGAAAAGATTCACCCTGGTTGAGTCGTTGATCTCCATCTGAGCCAAGAGTTTGCCATTAATGCTGAAATTGCTGAACCTGCCTCGTTCATAGTAGATGATACAGTGGCCTTCACTAGACACTGAAATTAAGCGAGGGTACAAACAGTTTTCTGTTCCTTCCAGTGCCCGCAACAAATCTCCAGTAATTGTATGCACCAGGCAAGGTCCTTCTGTGTATTACAAAATAAGAAAGCATATTACTGAAATGCACATAATTTACATAAACTATATAAAATAGGTTGTATCCTTGAAAATACAGGAACATGACTTGAGATTCTGATAGGAACAAACACTGCGATACTAAGGACTCTTGGCCCGACCTTCATGAGATGCTCTGAGGGTGGATATGTAGCTCCAGTGGTGTTTGGTAATATGTATAAAGTTCTGTGTGGAGGCATGCATTTAGGCACACATTTAGGTTTCTGTGAGTATTCCATTTTTGTTCATTTACAAGCAGAACCTACTCAGGTAACAGCCCAGAACCTGTCTGGGCATTTTGTGGGCAAAATTCACACATTCCTGAGCTTGTGATGTTCATTTGCTGGATTTAAAGTCCTTCCCTTTTCTCCAAGAAGCTTTGGGATTGAGCTGTGGCAACACAAGCCTGAAAGTGGTGTAGCTAATACCCCTAAATATTATTATGGAGGGCCTTTAGGGGAAAAAATCACTGAGCTGAAAAGCCTTCCAACAATTCCCATCCTGGCTACAATGAGCCCTTTTACTGCCCCACCCACCTATTAGGATTGTTGTATACATGCAACAAATTTACTGTATGTCTCAGTGGAGACAGGGGTGGCATACAATGACATATAAGCAGTGAAAAGGCACATGGGAGGAAAATAACCCCTTTGGTTTAATGTAACACCTCAAGAAAGTGGAAAACACATTTGAATGGTGAATTGCTTTGGTGTGTGTGCATGTGCTTTACAGTCCCCATTGTCCAAATGCTTAAAATGATCTATTTAGCCAGTAGGTCAAAGGTCTGAGCACTGTTGTTTGCATATGTGACAGTCACTTCCTTTATTAAAGGTAATCTCTCAGAGCTCACATCAGAAGCAGTGCTACTCAGCCTGCCATCCCCCAGAATGCCTTCTTGTCCTAGGCTTTTACAAAGTTTTGAAAACCAAACTGGCTTCCTACTTTCCTCACACAAGATGAAATATTCATGAACACTGAATTACAGAAATTGCATTTCAACAGATGTACTGTTTGTAAAAATCTATTACATCACAACTGCTAGAGGCAGCTGAGGGCAGGGGACTGAAGTTCAAAGCCTGATGACGGATCAAGCTCTGTGGAGGATACAGAAATTCAAATATATACCTTGCAAGATAATGAGAGGATAATGCAATTACGCTTATCTTGAGGCAACTCCCATGATGGCGAACTTCAAATTTGTAAGACTAAAATGACAACTGACCTTTAGCACCACTTATAACAAGTCCCAGCTCAGCGCAGACTGATACACAAACAACTTCATGATCATGGCCAGTGAGAACAGCTCTGGGAGCAGGATAATCACCTAAAACAAAGCAAATTGAGAAGAGTGCTTAATCCAAAATAGAACACATTTTAGTAGCAACAAATGCGTTTCAACTAGCAATTGTAGGAGTCTTTGTACTTCTATTTTTACTTGAACCTGTTTCAGCAATGCTTGGTGCACTGTTGGTTATGCTTGAATGTAAGCATTTATAATGTCCTTTCCTATTTTCTCAGAAGCATTATCATAAGAGTATGTTTCATAATACTTCCTGGGGGAAGAATCCTTCTGGTATTAACTTTATGGAATAAGCACAAAATCAAGGCACAAGAGTATTTGCTTATTTGCCTTCCTAAGGCTAGGAAAGACAGTGGATGTGATAAGACTCATTTTGCCCATGTGGCCATTCCAGAGAACTCACTGCATGAGCCCCGAGGAGCACAGAACCATTTTACATTGTATATTGGTCTGCAGCAGCCTCTGCATTCTTAGAGGCCGGAAGGGAACATTATGGCGCTTGATGTTGACAGGTGAGTGTAATTCTTCAGTTCACATATTATGTTTGTTCATGAGGCACAAAACAGAAAGTCTGAACTAGTGTATTGCCTTTACATGCTTTCTAATGCATCCATGACATTTAAGCCTTGCTGTTATTGCTATCTGAAAACCAATTAAAGAAATACTGGATTTCAGTGTACATTTATATGACACTATCAGAGCCATTGCTAGGCCTTCATGGATGGAATGGGGGATTCAAACTTATTCCACAGAGTTCTGAGGGTACCATGCAGGGGACAATTTTCAAAGGGGATGGACAAATGGAGAAAAACAGAATGAGCCTCCCCACATGTTGCAATACCTGCATGGACAAATCTTTTCCCAACTGGAAATTAAACTCAGAAATGTTTATTTGTTTGGGATGAACTGGGGTGGGGTGAAAATTAAGTGCAGAATGTATTGGATATAGAATTAATTGGTTGCCCTTGCGTCTTGTGCAATTTAAATAAAGGTTATAAGTTATTTCTAAATTTGCACATACAGTTGTATATGCAGATTTTATGTGGCCTATGGCCCAAATCTTTTAAATGCTCAGCAATTCTCCTAGATACTAAGAGAATACACTTTAGGAAAATCACTATTAGAAAAACAAACAAATCTTGGCTACCCTAATTTTCACCACATGTATTGCATATATGAGCAGGTATGGTCCAAGAAATGCTGGCACTACAAGTTCTTGGAATTTCTAAAAGCTTCTGGGATGGAAATCTGGGCTCACATGAACTACTCCAACATTCCTGGTACACTCCTGTCAGATTGCCCACAGTATTGAAGCTGACTGCTTGAGTTCCATGTGCTACCTTGTCAGCATGATTATGGATTATGTCAACCTTGGTCCACAGTACCAGAGACTAAATGTAGCACAGCCATTAAGTACTATTATTTAGTAATGAAAATCTGTTCACACTTATGAGTTTCATATTGCAGCCTCCTGTTATTTTATGTTTGTAAGAACACGTGTATATTTGAATGAATAGTTTTTTGTGGCCACAGACCGTACCAATAAAAGTTAATATAAAAAGTTAACGGAGAATAGAAAAAAATAAAATCACAGAGGAACCAAAAAGAAGCTCTATCTAATTTGTAGGGGGTAGAGTTAGCCATTGTTTTTCTTATTTCACAAGTCAAGGACACTAATTGAGTGGAATTTTATACTGGCAAAGCAGAGGGCAGTACATTAAAGTGAGCAAGTGTGCAATTAATGCGTAAATGAATGGAGTTCCAGCAATTACATTATTTGAAAGATTACTAAAGCATAGCAGAGACCAAGACTTATTGGCTGCAGTTGTAAGTCTAGGGTTATTATTTATTACAGGGAGCTAAGCTTTAATTAGGCCATCATTATCCAAAACCTTGGGAGAAGAAATCCAGCCTAAGACTCTTCCTGTTCATTCATAACCTATTTTCACCAAGTAACAAAGGAATAATTCAGTAATAAATTGATGGAAGGAGAGAAAGTAAACAGCTTCAGGCTTTGTAGACATTTAGGCCTAAAACTTCCATGATATCATTGTCTGTGGCTGATGGGAATAATAGGCCAAAATATCTGAAGGGTTACAATTTGCCACTCTGGAAGTAGAAGCAGCAATAGAAAATGCAAGAGTAACTACTGTTTCAGGGAATTTATCCAGATGTTACATTTATCTAATCATAGATCCACTTCCAAATTTAAAAAATGGTAATTCCAAATCTTTCTAAGGGAACTAGGCTGAATCTTTTCCATTTAAGACTTAAGGCCAAAAACCCATACGACAATGCTAAATGTAAATTGATCCAAAGGCTTAGCTATATTAACTTGAATAGTAGAAGGTATAAAGCAGCTACCTTGGGATATTTTGTGTATGGTTTTCCAAATATGTCCTCCACAAAAAAGCAAAAGAAAAAACATGTTTTAGTTTTACTTATATGTCCTAGTTTATTCACCACTGGAAAGAAATCAATTTATTTTAAAATAAAGGGAACATTTTTGCTGTAGAGAACAAAGAGTGACATGTATGTGGGAATGAGCCACAAAATGCCGAGGTTATTAGTTTGGGCTAAATCCAATATTATCACAGTGGATTTCTGCTTATGCAACTGGACTTTCCCTTCCCTTAAACCCCGCTGTAGTAGGGATGTATGAGAAATAGGTTTCAGTTCATTTTTGATCAGGATTTACAGAGTTTACATGTTCCAGATTGAACATGGACTCAGATGCAATCTGTAGTTGAAATCTGTACATTTCAAAGCTTGCAGTTTGATTTGTAAACCCCCAAAATGTGCATATCACATATGTACACTTGAAATATTTTATGCACACTTTTGAAAAAAGTATGCAAATATTGTTTAATCAATGGGAGAACAATGCATACTATGCAAAATGTGCAAAATGGATCTATGCATTTGGAAATTATGAATAGATTTTTATGCAAAAAGGAAAAAAAACCCACCAACGTTCACACTCTAATGTTGGCTCAAGTTGGAATGAGCTTTGAGATGGACCTGAGAGAACTTCTGCAAGTTTGAGTTTTGCTGATTCACACATCCCTACTCTGTAGCCCCCTGCATTTCAAACACATTTCCTTCAGAGGGTACCACAACCATCTAGAGAAGATTTAGGCAGTGGGTGTAAGGGAATTTGATCTGTCAGAAGTGTCTATTCCACAGCAATTCCACAGGTTAGAGGACACTGTTGTATATAATCCTGAGTCTGGAGTGTTTCATTTAGCTGGATATGGAGAGGCTGAGGAAAGTTGGGAATATTTTCCTGTTCTTAAGTAGAAAGAGGCTGCACAAATCATATTAGAATGTCTGTATTGTCAGAGGCAGACACAGAGAAAAAGAAACTGGGAAAGACTGTGATACATCTGCTCTATGTCTCTGGGTAGGATGTGCAAGGCTTAGATAAAAAGGCTGTTTCTCTGTTTTTATACATATTCTGTTTGTATTCCAAGGATGAAAATTATTGAAGAGGATGACTGCTTCCTCTGAAAGACTTTTGCATCGTTTCACCATTTTCGACAAAACAGTTTGTTGCAGTGAAGCAATGGATGACTGCTTTTTAAAAATACTTTAGGTATCTGTGTATATGCTACATGAAGCATTAGAGATTGGAAACTTTTTAAGCACGAAAAGCCATATTGAAAATGCATCACGAGACGAAGGGCCTCAGCTAAATTGCATATTTCTGGAAGAGGCTAAACTATATCTGGCAGAGGGCTTGAACTTACTCTAAAATATTCTTATTTTGAAATTGCTATTCTCAAATGTGAATTACCTGAGTTAGCTCTTGAAAAACCTTGATAGTTTTTCATGACAGTTGAAAAGAAAGCAAAGAAAGGCAAAGCAGCCTATTATCTCTATTACACATGATTCTGGAATACCAAGCACACAGTATTCACTGAAGCTGTGGGTTATCTATAATTAAATTGAATCTGTACTGTGATCCACTTCATTTGCCAAGGCAAATGCCTATGAGGACCAGTGCTGACCCTGAAAGCAGATTTTTAAAGAAATCCTAGCTATACTATACTTCCAAAGCCTTTAAAATCAATCATAGTTTTGCAATAACAGGGAATATAATTCCTGCCTTTAGGGACAAATGAAGGAAAATACAGTTTTAATCAGCGATATATTCTTCTGGCAGAGCTGCTGTGTGGGGAGAGAATCGTACCCCACATTTCATTTCACTGCAAGAGACAGAATGTCACGGACCTTCGCAATCATTCAAAATCTAGCAAAATATCCTGTCACCATCACATCACCACTGATAGATGCAGCAGGAGGTTAAAGGCTGTGGCACCTAGGGAGCTGCAGGTGAAACTTGACCACTGCGAATTGAAACACCATCACTTTGAACTCACAGTAATTTCCCCAATGTGGCACCTCTGTATCTGCAGTAGAATCACTTTAGGGCAAAAAGATAAAATATACAAGATAGAGCTACCAACTCCAATCCTGCAATGCTACTTAAAACAAGGCACTAGCTTTTGTGTACTGCAACAGATCTAATTTGTGATGAAATGCTATGGAAGACAGCATGCCTTCTGTTTTTAAACAAAGCAGAAATATTAATAATCTAGTTTATTTATTATGATGCCTCCTGGCCTTCCTGCAAACTAATATTTCATGTGAAATGGAAACATCTTTTTCAGTAACAGACAGCGTTGAGGCACAGCGCTCACAGTACAATGTGGGCAGTCATTTTAAAAGGCATGAAATATCAGAGCATCTCATGCTTGGTAGAATTGTCTTATGTGAAGAGTGTGGTCTTATGTGAAGAAAACCAGGGATACTGGAAACTGGGTAGGACTCCCTGTTCATGCCATTCTCTTTGGCTTTCTCTATTCCAGTGTTTATTTTCATGCTACCCATACATGCAGAAAAAGTCAGATACCTACTCAAGTGCTGTTTTTCCTGTCTGTTGCAAATACTGAGGCTGGAAGAAGTGAATGTATCAGAAAAGAAATCCAGCAATTAATGCCAGGGTTACAAGCAAAATCTTCACCACTACCATGCCAGAGGCTCTAGCAGGGAGCTCTGATTGGCACTGAGAGGTTATTTCATGATGTTTCTGAATTTCTGTGATTAATAAGAAGCTGTAGGCTCCTGCAAAACATGGGAGGATGTGCTGCTGGGAACAGCACAAAATTAAAAAAAAAAAAAAAAACCAAACGCTAAAGGATTATTTTCCATATTGCTCAGATTAGATGTACTAACTACATATTATATTCCCTAAGATGCTTGAAGGGTAGTGGGGTGGGTGGATCAGGCATAAATATGGAATACAGACAAGGGTCTGTAATAGCCCTCAAGCAATGTTTTTGTGGGGAGAAGCAGTGGAAAGCAAACGGCATGCAGATTTCTAGTGAACAGTGTATAACTACATCAGGGAGAAACAATCTTTTTGGCCCCAAGGACCTCATCAGGAGTCTACTGTAGTGGTGGTGGCAGAGGGCATGCATATGTACACACACATATGCATATGGATTACCCATGTACACTCAAATACCTGACTAACACACACATGCAGAGATGCTGCCGTGTGGAAAACAAGGCCGCACTCTGTCATCTTAGCCATTCCAACCTGATTGCGGTTTCACTGACTGGTTCCTGCTTCAGGTAGGAAATGCCAACTGTTTCCTGGGCTCTTTAGGGCAGGAAAGAATGCTCTAGGGATGGGCAGCATAGTCTGTGCTCTATCGTTTCATATAGATACTCTATAAAATAGGTATAAAACCTGATCACTTGCACATGCAGATAAGCAAGTTTGTAACTGTTTGGAACCTTTTCATCTGGACTGCTACAGAGTCTTCTAAATATACTTTTACATTCCTGCTTCAATGTCATATAACTAACCATCAACTGTTTTGATCCAACACAGTTTCAAAATGATGTGAATGAAATTACACACTGTGTACACATCCACTGTGTGTGGCCTAAAGGAATAAAAAGTACAAAGGAAATGGATGTTCTAAGCCTAATGATCTCTGCCTTCCAATTAATCTAGAGAGTCTTTTAGCTCTGAAATATTTACCCAGAAGAGACTCAGAATGCCTTCAGAAGTGTTATTCATAAAATCAATGCAATTCTCTCCCAGGAATTCTTTACAGACACATTTAGTATTTCAGTGCATAGGCCAGTATACTACACACACACATTGAAATACCGGGCACTTCCTTTAAGCATATGTAAAATATATCAAGGGTGACAAAATGCACTTTAGTGCCTTTAAGGGATGTTTGCTGTCCACAAACTGAGCTTAGGGCTGGTCAACACAATATGCTCACAGTGCTCAGTGCAAACACAGCCAGGAAAAGCACCGTTAACTCACACCTCTGGTGACTATCTGGTATGTAATGAGAAATGTCAAGTCCCAGGATCAATGAAATTTCAGGCTCTGGGGACACAACAGGAATAGCATTGATCCTTTTAAAGAAACCAGTCAAAGGCTGAGTGCAATATATTGCACAGATAGGCTCAAGAGGATAAGCGGCCAAGTCCAGCATACCTACATGACAAAAAATTCAATCAGCTCTTAGCACAAGCTGCTGGCTCCATTCTCCTTCTTTTCATGCAGGGAGATGGTTCCAATTAAAGTGTGCAAATTAATTTTTATCACTTCCAAATTAGTTTCTGAATTTGTGTCTGCAGCAGTAGAAAACATCTGTCTCTCAGCCCTCCCCCCTCAGTTTTAGCTATTTTGGTATTTGTTCACAGGTTTGGAACCCCCCCCCCCCACATTCCTGTTACAAAGAGGAACTAAAACAGATATAAATTATAGATAGGGAAAAGCAAATCGACTATGCAATGAAGAACAGAGGCAAAACAGAAACTATGCCATTCATACTGAGCCAAAATAGGATTCACCAAGTTAAAGTGCAATTTTATACATGGCATACTTAAAAATCTGTTTTCTTTAACTATGGTCCGTGTCTAACATTGCTGCTGTTTTAGCAGAAACGACTGCTCATGTAATGGGAAGCTAGTGCTGGGTAGCCCAACTGGAAAGTAGCCACTTCCGGAATGGAGCAAGTTGTGGAAGGAAACTGCATTAATGTATACCATCTCAGAAGCTATGATTTCAGGTAGTTTTCTGGTTTGTCTTCTTGTGCTAACAGCTGTCCCCAACTGTTCCTCTTCGCACAATTTATCTCACCCTGGTGGATTGCCAGAATTCAGTAGTGCCTTGTGAATATCCACAGTAATATCTATTTCTGACCCAGTGTTTCAAATTATCAGTGTTGCATCTGTCTAAGTGCCTATAGTAAATGGACCTCATTCCAAATATGTATTTTCCCTTAAAGGAACTTAAAAGTTGCAGTCTGTGTACCATGGCAAAAATGGAACCAAGGAGCAGAGGAGCTGGGAGTCTCAGCAGAGCAACACATCATGTCATGGTGTATGCCTCAAAGTTGTACTGGATGTGTGAGCCCTACAGTGACAGCTGATGGTGATTCCGGGTGGATATATGGCTTGAGAGTTGCATGTGGCTAGGGTTCCCTTCAGGTACAATGATGGGCAGAAAGGCTGCCACAGACCAGAACTTATGACATCTATGGAGTGCCTAATTTTCAAGTATAAAGAAGTATATCAAGTAGTGTTTGATAGAAATTTAAAATATTAGACTACATATGTGCGCACAGGCCTCATATGTGTATGGCAGAGAGTGTTCAATCCCATGAACAGCAGCAAACCTAACAAGAAAACATCTATCAACATATTTTCAACATATTTTCTAGTTATTCTTTTAGTAATGATCAAAACCAAAAACTTTAACATGAAGCATGTGAGACCATGTGTATATGCACATGAATGTGAAGTTTCAAAACATATGATTCACTAGTGTTGATTAAAAAATAAAGAACAGAAAGGTCCTCTTATATATGATTTTCTGAAACAACTGAAGTTCCTTTTGGTAATTGGATGCACTGAAGCTGAAATTGATAATTAACTGTCGTTCAACTTAAAGGATCATTAGAAAGTCAAGCACCTAGCCCACGTAATTACTATAACCTGGCATTTTTTTCTTTTGGATTCCTTATCTCCTTATGCTCTGTGATATAAAATATCTTACCTGTGTCTCCAGATGACAGCTTTTGAGAAACTAATCCTTTTTCTGAAAATATCATCTGCATCTTCTTGGAGATTCATTTTAAAGATGTTAACTAATTGGATTTAACCTACACTGTACATCTCACTTTCATTTTTCTTACATGATAAGCCCTAATCTCCTGGCAATAAATGTATAGGAACAGTAGACGTTATAAAGAAATATTTCTTAATGTAATTTTTCAGTTGACCTAACACTGTGCTGCCCAGATAAAATATAACATTTGGGGGATAACCTGCTGCCAGTTGATGAATAGTAGAAGAGCATCTAGTGACAAAGTAAGTGGAGAAACCCAGTGAATAAGCATCCATGAGCCATAAAAACATAATCAGACCTATGATCCATCTCATCCAGCATTCTGTGCCTACAGTGGCCTATCAACTGTCTGTAGGAAGCATTCAAATAGGACATGAATGTAATAGCAGCCCTCCCATGACTACACTTAGTATCAGGTATAGATTGGCACAGTCTCAACAGTGATGTCACCTGAGAGGTATAGAGAATTGTCAGCACTGTCTTCATGAAATCGCAAGGTGTTGCAGGCGCTGACATGGCCTGTAAATGCCATCACCCGCACACATCCTGCACTCATGAACTGGTGGGTTTACTCATGAAAGGTGAAGGCTAAAATCGAAAAAAGTAAGGAAAACTGCAGTGAGATCCTATCAGAGAGAAGATGCACCACTCAGGATCTGTATCCTGGATTATGCTTGTCCTGGGTGACAGTTGATTGCACATATTGCTGCCCAGGGTTTTACAATGATCTATGGAAAGGACAGTTCATTATTGCTTTCACCCAGAGAAATGTTGCATATTCACTGACTTATGAGACCCACAAATCTTATCAAAATAATCTGTAGATGCTGGTAGTTGAAAGAGAGGTAAGTGCTCTCACAATGACAGAAATGAGGACATCACCGGGCACAATTCAGTCCAAGTTAAAACACTTAGAAAATTAAGCATGCATTCAATTTTCTTGTTGAAGCTTATGTGATTTAGATATATTTAATTTTGACTGGTTCCTGTCATAATTCTTCTATAGATTGGAAGATGCTGAAAATTCTGGGAAGCAAGCATTACCAGTAACAACATGTTTGAACTCAGGTACCATTGATACCTGTTGAGTGAAAATGGAGGTTAGCTTTATTTGAGTAATGTAGATGAGAAGCTCTAATACCAGATCATAAAATGATCTTTTCTCAGACTGACTTTATGGCAAGTTATTCCCCACAAAGGGAAAAAGGGGTGCAATTAAGTCAATAGCAAAACAAACACTAATAGTACTCCAAATATTTCATCTCAAACAGAACCCAGCAAAGCCAGAGGTGTGAATTTGTGATTCAAGGACCATGACTTTACAAAGTAGGCCAGCTTTCTCTTAAGCTTTGCTGCTACTTATTTTGTCTCTTCGAAAGTCACACACTGTCTTATACTCCACATATTACTTCCAGGACAATTGTTTCAAAGTTTCATTTACTGATTGCCACTTAACTAATTCAGTATTATAAACAAACTTGTGACTTACAATAATTTATAGAAACTATGAATTTTTTACAGAATGCAGTGAGATTTTAACCTGAAATACTAAATGTCCACATTGACGTTTCAAAGATTAACAAATATAGGATTCATTTAGAGAGGTTTATGAACTTACTGCTGTTTGGATTGTCACCAATTATATGATGCCGGCCACTCCAATACCATAGAAGTAATGTAGCATCACGAGAGCCAGAGACGATGTAGCAGTCCCCACCAATGTATGATTCTGATCTGGCAAGGCAAGTCACTACATCCCAATGGCCAAATACAATCTGAGTTAGTTTACCTACAACAAAGAGATTTCGTGTTACTGATTTTTGTATTTCTGAACACTGTGAATACAAATGCAAGAAAGAAGAAGTCATTCCTTAAAGATGAAACACCAATATCAAGACATTTAAAGATTTGGATTGTAGCACAGTTGTCAGTGTCTGTCTGCATGTAATGTAAGGGTCAGACATGTTGCTGCACTGGTTAACTTCTTACAAAATAGGTTTGTGCACCAAGTAGTAGAACAGACAAAGGCAATCCTAAAATAACTCACATTTTCACTTACTGGATCTGAACAGTCTGCAGTTTATATTAGCTATTCTTATTATAACATATAATAGCACCAGATTCAGGTAACAGATGGCATATAATTTGTACTCAAAAGCCTGCTGGTTCACTATGTTTGATTGTAAAGGAAAACTCTTCATTCATCAGTGACCTTTTTCCTGTGTCCTAAAAGCTCCTCTCATAACTTCTACAAGCCCTGGGTGTCATGTGGAGATACAATCACCTATTGATTTGTTGTCTTCATAGGAATATAAGAAGATAACTTACACTAGCTCAAACTATTTCTCTGTACTGTCCAGCACTGTCTATTTTTGACTAGCAACAACTCTTCAAAGTCTCAGGTAGATGTTTTCCCATCCCCTGCACCTGGACCTTTTAACTGCAGTTGGGAGAGTCTGAATCTGGGACTGCCTGCAGGTAAAGCATACGCTATTGTGTTGCACCTCTGAACTATAGCACCACCTTTCATAGGAAGGAGACTTATACCAAATCTGCACTTGACCAAAGAGGCTGATGTCTATTCTGACTGGCATTGGCTTTGTAGAGCTTCAAGCAATATTTTAAACTGCTCTAAACTTAACATATTTGAAAAATTGAGGGCTTTGAAAGGGAAGTATTTCATATGAAAATGCATTTTCATGCCTTAGTCAGTGGGGGAAAGTGTGCAGTTCTTGTAGCAGCGTCCATGCAGCAAACTTGTACTGACTTGCACCCTGAGGTATTTAAATGCAATTCTGGCATTTTGGAATAGGAACTTTTGAAAGAAGACCTTCCATGGATGTGCATTAAAATCTACTCTTCAGCCAAGCAAAAAGCAAGTTCCTTTCAACAGCTCACATCAAATAGCCAGAGCTGTATCCAAGATCTGACTTCAGCAAGGGGAAGTGACCTTCTGTGAGAGGAAGGGTTCTGCTCGCAGAAGGTTCTTCTTCCCAATATTGGATGTTGTCTCCTCCTCCCCACAGCACAGCTCACCTCATTCATACCACGCTGACACTGTCTGCAAAATTTTCAGGCAGTAGGAAGAAAGAAGTCTTCTGCTGTGAGAAGCAGGGAGTCAGAAGTCTTTTTCTATCAGCTCAGTTGATTCAGTGTAAATCTGGATTCGACCTTCCCGCTGTGTTAATGGTTATTTAAAAGTAATTTGGAGTTTGATGTTTCCAAATAAAAGAATCATTGGCATCAGTGGAGTAGATGTGTTTTTATTTATACAGTAAATACTTTTATTTTTATGATTCCCTACAATATTTTGAAAACTGCATGTAATCAGTTTATTCAAACACAAGTTAGCAAACTACTTTCTCACAAGCTGTGCATACAGCAGTATTGTCTATGCTACTTTTAAGCATAACTACTAGACAATAGATTCTATATTGGTTCTGACGGATGTATAAGCATTTCTGACATGGCATAAGAGCATGCACATTAAAACTCTATGTGCAAAGTCTACCTGTTTCTGTGGAATAAACACGAAAGCTCTTGTCCCAGAAACCACAGATAAGGATATAGCGATTATCTGCTGTGACCACAAAACAATGAGCATTGATCTGAATGCTTTGATCCACAAGGTCTGTGATCTGCCGTTTGTTCACACCAGAGTTATTGGCTGCAGAAAGAGGGTGGGGGGTATAAGTAAGGTGTTTCAGCAGCTTTTTATCATACAATGTTTATAATAAATTGAAACTTTTAACTTCCACTGAAGTGTGGATTTAGATAAGATTTCATTTTAATGCTAATATGGTCATGACAGTTTTCAGAAATAGAAAGAAATTGCATATTGTTGACTTTTTGTTGAATTAGAAACATCACAACGTTGGGATGGAAAAAATGATCATCCAGTCTTACCCTCTACAGCAAATTAACATACCTTCAGACCATCCTACTGGCTCAAAAAGGAAAAAATAAAACCACTTTGAGGGTAATGGATCAATCTCTCCCAAAGGAAGTGCCATTCATATCTCAAAATCTACTCCCTGAATTACCCCATGGAAATATTCTATGTTATCTAACCTCTCTTCTTCAGGAGTGAAATCATATGACCACTTACTTTATAGTTGCTGATTAAAAACAGCCTGCCCTGGTAATTCTAACCATATGAAGATACGATGCAGCCACCTGTTTGTCTCCAGCCAAGTGGTGATGGAGGGCATGGTAATACTTGCTCACAGCATGGCTGAAGAGCTGGGGGGATGATGGTCTCTCCTTGTGGTTAGAACCAGCACATAAGCACTTGTGATGTGTCCACTGTGTGTAAAAAGTTGTGTAGTAGGTCTTGATCTTCCAGATAAAGTGGGATGGAAAGAAAACCCCTTCATTTTCCCAGTGGAGGCATCAAAGTAAATTTTGTGTCATGCAAGCATTTTTTAAAAAATCCATCACATACTGCAACATGCTCTCCATATCTAAATAATTCAGTTTATTTAGACTCAACAATCCCTTTATGCTACATGGTTCTTCCTCCCCCCCCCCCATGTGCAGTTTCCTGAAGACAAAGAAAATATACTGATATGATATAAATACAAAAGTCTTTATTGATGGGTCAGGTTAGTGTAACTGGGTTAATTAGCTGAAGAGCTTGGATGGTAGTGGTGGTTGACTGAAAACAAAAGTTGTATGGACCTGCTCATACACTACACTTTTCTCCACTAACATCTACTTCTGTTTTCTTGCAGTTACATAACTGTATCGCCAGTTATGCATGTGAACCATCTGTATGATAATTTTTTTGTTTGGATGACCTATTTGCTTTTTCCTTTAACTGTACATCTTGACATGTATGTTTAGTACAACTCAATAATCTTCCCTTTGTTGTTAAGCATTTTCTGGCATCCAAATTCTAAAGATACATGCAGCTGTAACAGGAAATAGACTAGTGGGGGACAATGTAATTAATAGAGACATTCCATGGAAGAAAAGGTCTGTGCATGTCCAGAGAATGGTCTGAAACAGAAATCTATCATGCAGCAGGTCTCAACTTATCTTCAGATATGATGCATAGCCATTAGTATTGTGCATGAAAAAATTAATCCCCCTCTCACTTCCAATATACCTCATTTTATATAACTTTGGTTTTCAAATAGGATAGTTTGATTAACTCCACTTATGGTCAAAATGAGTGCTATTTGTGAAACAGCACTAGTACATGCAACTGGACCAATGTAAAATCACAATCAGTTTACTAGGCTACTGTAACCCCACACAATGAGGTGATGCACAAGTGCAGCAATAATTGTGCTTGTTTCTAGAAATGTTATGCCATTTTCATATATGAAACTGTTGGTTTCTAATGGAAATATGCAGGTTTGTGGATGACACTAAATTATTCAGGATGATAAAATCCCAAGCCGTCTGTGAAGAGGTCTGGAAATATCTCTCAAACTGGGTGCACAAGCAACAATGATATTTGCTGTATGTAAGTGCAAAGTGATGCATATTGGTGCAAACAAAAAGTGAATAGTCCTAACTTCACATATGCATAGTTGAGACCTGAACCAGCTGTGTCAGCCCGGAAAGATATCTTGGGGTCATGACTGGAGGCTCACTGTAAACACCAACCCAGTGTGCTGCAAAATGGATGGGCAATTGATTCAGGACAGACATCTTCACACAATGCATATTTAACTTATGGAATCCACTGCCACCAGATGTAGCAATGGGCACTGTCTTTAACAGATTTGAAAAGGGTTCAATAAATTCATGGAGAATGGGTCCACCAATGGCCATTCAACTTATTAGCTAAATGGAACTCCCATATTTGGGGCAGGGCAGTTCTTATCCCAGATACTAGAGACAAACAACAGAGGAGAAATTTTAGCTACATGCTCTTGCTGAAATGGAAGAACTTTTGGTTCTGCTTCAGCGGGAGCCTTCCTATGCTTTGTTATTAGTAATTGCAGCTCTTCATTCTGAGAAACTAGTACTAGACAATAATTGCTGTTCTTCACTCTGAATTCTAATACATAGTGTAGCATGTCATTAAAATGTAGCATTTTCAAACACCATGGAATGCATAGTTTTCTAACAAATAACTATTATTTATTCTCTGACATACCGATCAATGGATCCATTTCAATAGGAAGATGATGAGCTTGATCCAAAGAATATCCTGGGGCTCCCCTGAGGCCTAAATAATAATTAGAAAAGTAATGCCAATAAGGACTAGACAGGTATTATTTTATCTCACTGAAGAACTGGACTGAGGAATAATCATATTCCTAATTTTATACCTTCAAGTTTTTGACATGACAAAATCATTCTTCCTTTGCTTCCACTACTTGCAACATACACATAAAAAGATCCTGTGTGCAGAATGCGGTACAGCAACAACTGGGTGTGCACTGGGGCTCTGGTTTAGCAAAGTAGAAAGCTTTGCAGGATGTACAGATCCATGCATGCCACATAAAAGATGCTGCTATGTCTGAGCTTTAGTATCAATTTCCATTACACATTTCTGCAGAACTCCTCATTTTGTTTCAAATGTGTGCCGTGACACAAGCATATGAAAAACGCATCTAAATTTTAAAATAGGCAAAATGCAAATGATTAAGCACAGAGCAAGGACTTTCCACCTTGTGTGGAAAGGACCAGTCTGACCTTCTGTGCTTAGCCTGGGAGGGTGAACTGAACTGAGGATGGAATGGGGGAGGAGAAGGAAGAGGGAGCTCACACTCTGTTAGAATGCTTTGGAACAACCTGGTAGGAGGCAGTTGCCTTCCTTTTAACTTTTGCTGGACTTTGAGGAGAGAAGGAGGTCAATGTTCTGCTAGGCCACTGCATGAACTGAAACATCCTTCAGGGCTCCGTTTCCCTGGATGCTCTAGAGCAGAAATGTGCTGGTGTGGCCCACTCTCCCCTTGGATGCACGGAGCACTGGTGATAGGGTTTGATGTGTGCCTTACCAAAACTGTAGTGTGCACATATCTGGACTATATCCTCAACACAATGAAGCATAACCATGAGCTAGAAAAGGGATGAATGGCAAGCATGATGGTAAAGGCTGAGTGAGGGTATCTGTTACAGACACGGCAATGGGTGAGTTTCAGGGAGGGTGAAACGAGGCAGCATATTCCCTTACTCTACCAAACTAGGTTCCTGCCTTTTTTAATCTCCTGCCAACTCGCTATGCAACTCCCTAGTTCTTCTTCTCACTGCCTGAAGTGAGGTAGAGCTTTTCCACATGATGCTTTTAATTTGCTGTATCTATTTTCACTTTTATAACAAAACTGAGATCTAAGAACTTTCTTGCTTTTCTGTGATATAACTTCTAGGCTGCACTGTGCTACAGTGGAATAATGATATTATTCAGGTAGGAAAATAAATTTTCTTTTGCTTTCAGAAATAATACTCCATTTTCTCAACTTAAAAAAAATCCTAGGAAAGAGTGCTTAAAAACAGAAGCAAAACTGGAGTTCACAACCTTATCTAAAAAACTATGAGTGCACAATAAATGCCTCATGCTCATAGTGGTAAATTTTTAATATGCAGGTGTTCGTCATGACAATTCCCATAATCTCTCCCCAGAATAGTCTAAAAACACAGGCAACAGTACTGATAAATATCTACTAACCAGTTCTAGATATTTTTTATCTCCACCAGGAAAATGTCTTTTGTGTCATAGTTACCCATGGGTCATAGTTACCCATTGGGTCATAGTTACCCATTCAAAACCAAGTCTTCCCTAAAGGTGACAATATCTTGACAAATGACAATATACTATTGCAGGGACAATCCACTGTGCCACCCAGCTATGGTGAGGATTGCCACTAATTTCAGAGGGTACAGGGCCCAGATAGCAAAAAAGTTCCAGTGCTCTAACTCTGTGAACCCTGGCTCTGCTAGACCACTGATTAGCCATGGTTTGTGTGCTCATCTTCAATCCATCCTTTTCTTCCTCCTCCAATTTATGCCCTCTTTGCATTATTGTTTGCTTCGTGTGTTTCATATGTTGCCAAGTTAGTCAGGATGGGAACCACCACTATTCACATCTCTGTTCTGGTCACACATAGAGTCGGGTGAGGGATACTGTATATTTAAGCTGTATCTCAAGACAGGCATGCAGTTTATGGGAATGGGGTGCTCCCCACACTCCATCATCTTCAAACTCTTTTCCCCCTAACCTCATTCTGATACTGGGAGTGTATCAGACTCCTGGACTGAGAAGTGATGAAACGTCGAGAAAAAAAGGCAGAGAAGGTTGCATCTCATTACCCTCATCACTGGATGTTAAAATCATATATCTCTCCTCTACCATCATGCGCTTTTTGTACATAGTAGGCACATTAATATTGCTGTAACCCACCCAGGGAGCTGTATGGCTAATGGGGCAAGTTAGAAATGTAATAAATAATAAATAAATAATGATAATTAATAAACAAACATAGCAGACTTTATTGTGTACACTAGGAGTACACTAGTGTCATACATATGCAAGCCAGTGGAAAGGTATGTACTCAACAGTTGGGACTATAACGTTTCCTCAAAACACTACTAAGCAGCATGTTTAGATTATAATATCCTGAGATGGAAGTTTGCCATACTAGTGATTAAAAAAAGCCCTCTCTGCTGGTATATATTATTTTCAAAAAATGTAATGAAGTATAACACTATCCCATAACCAAATCTAGTTAAAATGAAAACAACTCACTCTTTGTGGAAAGTTAAAGACAAAATCTCTTTAAGAACACATACCTACTGTGTTGTGCCATCTATTCACTGCAAAGAGTCGGCTGCAAGTCACTGTTACCACGGCAGGAATGGTAAGGTGGGGAAGTGTGTTGGCTGCCACATGTGTGACAGGAGAATTTGATGGAAATTTGAGAACCATTATAACATCCTGCTGCATCTGATCTTTAAACATAAGTGGACTCTGTGGAAGGAAACACTGTTGAGTAGAAAGGAGAAGAGAGCAGAAGAAAACAGAAGGATAACACAATTAGTGAGGAGGTCTGAGGGAAAATAAGGTTAAAAGAGTCAGGAAGTATTTGCACATACAGGGGAAACAATGCTATCTACACATCTAACTCTACAAATACAGGGAAGCAAAATTAGAAAAGCTATTCCTGGAACATTACACAAGGGCAAACAGAGAAAAGTCATGGTTGAGATACATTAGGTTATCATTACAGGGTATGAAATGATCAAGTCAGCATTAACAGGAAGGAAATCTCAATGGAATGGTTCACAGTAAAGATTTCAGGCAAACAGAAGCCACATAAGGCAAGTAATCCTTAAAGTTTACATTGCATTAAGTGCAGAGGTTTAAAAGGAACTCAGTTAAGAATCCTTAGAACCCAACAGCATGACTGAATTTAATGGAAGAACCCCACCGCCACCACCACACACACAATGCATCATAAGAACACTGAACTGCTGCTGAAAATGGCAGCCCCAAGGAAAAAAAGGCCTTCTCCCACCATTATGCAGCACTGCTACATAGTGCCATTGCACTCTGGAAGGCTTGTCACACAGAGTGAAGAGGACTGGAATGGGAAAACATATGTGGGGACATGATGCAAACCTCACTGTAAGTTGCAAGGGTGGGATGAGTCTGAAAACAGCAGTATTGTGCTTCTTGGAATGTGTAGCTACGTTCTCAGAGGAGCCATCCATTCTTGCAGTGATAAGAAGCTTTTTCTCATACAGCATAAAAATCATGGGCCCTAATCCAGAGGTATGTACAGGTTAAGCCACAACTGCAGTAACAAGATTTGTGCCACAGGGCATCCCAAGCTGTGAAAACTACCATGAATTTAAAAGGCAGCTCATCATGTGGGACGTGGTTTGTCTGGCCACTGCTTTGGAATTACACTGAGAAGAAAGTCCCAGTGTGCCTGTCTTGTCCTTCCCATCCATTGATCCACAGGAATCACATGTGAAGATAATTCCAGAAATAGCTCCTTCTATTTTTGCTGTACAATATTATAAATGGTTTGAAAAACAATGCCAAGTTAAGAGGAAGGAGAAGAACACCACACAAAAAGCATGTTTTCAAGGATATTACAACACTAAATAGTGCAGTCCTATGCATGGCTACCCAGAAGGAAGCCTCCTTAAGGTCAATGGGGCTTACTTCCAAGTAGGTGGGTAAAGGGTTACCACTGGAGAGGATTTCTAGGATTGTTAGTAACTTTCTACTACTGTGAAATCCTTTTTAGTAAGTTCATATTTTGAAGAGTACAGACAGTTTAGATGGCTATTTTTTTTTTTTTTTGTTCAAAGAGGAAATAAAGTTTGGTTGCCAGAGAAATTATATTATCTTACGTCTATCTTTTGAGGGAGTAGGGGTGGAAATATCCAAAAATACTATAATTTGGAATGTATAAAAATTCTTCCTCTTTAGACATTTCAAATCAAGAGTAAATATGGAAAGATATCTCATTGCTTCCAGTATAACATAACATTGTTTCTTCCCATCTCAGGAATAAGTATACAAATGAATAGATCAGCAATTATTTGGGAGTTCAAACTGAAGTTAAAGTGCACATTTTGTCCTCTCTGGAGAGTGGGCAGGAGGTTCCCTGCAGGATTTGAACTACAATTTCTCACTTCTGACAAGTAGCCAATGTTCATAAATCACATAAATCATTCCCTAATGCTTCCTTCTCCTCTTGCAATATGATCTCTGTCATAAGAAAATCATCCAGCCCTTTTATTTTACACAATGGTATTCATCAAATACATATTTATGATGATAGGAGCTCATTAAAAATAGAATGAAGAAATTGGCAAACAAAGTTAATGACAGTCAAAAAGCCACAAATTCACTTCTACACTACAGCAGGCAATTTTTTTTTCTGCACAGAGGAAATGCACAAGTGTTTTTGTGGAACTTAGGGCATATAAAGAGAAAGTGTTACTTAAATTGGTATTTTATGACCTATAAAAGGATCCTCGGATTCAGAGGAAATAAATTCCCAACAAGCAGTTATATCTCACCAGGTGCATGGCAGAGCTCCGAGGCGGATGTGGCTCAATAAGCAACTGAGATGGCGTCTGTCCAAAGTTCTGTATCTGTGCCTCCATGGCCTGCAGGGAAAGGAGAGTGATTGTCATAATCAATATGCATCAAAGAGATAGGTCAACACACTCCTTGACAATGCAAGCATATCCCAAGTCAGCCATGAAAAAAGTCCAGAAAATTCACCGGGTGCTCTTCTCCCAGGCTGCAGACTCATCCAAGTGTTAGTATTTTGTAGACAAGCTTTGCTTCTCCTTTCAAGCATGCTTCAGTTAACCAACTAATCATTCCTATTTCCAGTAGCTGGAAATGCATGTGAAAATGTTAACCTGTGAGGACATGCAGCTAAGGTCTTGCAAGATTTCTCTGCATTAAGCAGGTATACCTTAATAAAGTCCTTTGTAAGAAGGAAAGTATGAGGATCTCTAATAAAATAAGCCTCTGGGATCTTAAATAGGGAAAAAAGAAATACAATTCATAGATGATGTGATTCTTAAATATGTCAGTTTACAACAAATTAACAATTCTAGACTATTAACACATCAGTATCAAAGCATACATGTATGAGATAAAGTATGCTGCTAAAATTATCCAACTTATTTCCAGATTCAGTATTCCAATTATTTCTTTTAATAAACCTTTTACTCTAAGTGCATGCTTTTCTAAGAATATTTATTACAGCCCATGATGAGAGAAAGGGGCTATTACTCAGTGGTGGAGTCTTGCTTTGAATGCAGAATGTTCTAGGAATCTCCAGACTAGGCTGAAAATCTGCCTGAAACCCTGGAAAGCCACTGCTATTCAGGGTTAAGGCTAGGTGGATCAGGTATCACACCATGTAAAGTGGTTTCCTGTGTTCCTTAGATATGGCAACATTCTTTTAAAACTTTAGACTACCACATAATCCTATAAGTGTCTACTCAGAAGTAAGTCATGTTGCGTTCACTTGGGCTTAATCCCAAATAAGTGGGCACAGTCCTATATCACCTGGAATAATGTTCCATTGAATTCAATGGAGCTTAGCAGAGTATGGTTCCAAGGTAAAAGGGGAATGTGTCCTTCAGAATAAAATCTTTCAACAATCCTATCAAATATTTAACTTTATTCTATAGCAAAATCCAAAAAATCCCTAATCATAAATTTTTTTTGATAATGGGCTTAACGTATCTACATTTGTTTCTTCATTAAAACATTTGAAGCCTTTTAACATTTTGAATCTCCAAAGCATCTAGCTTCATCCAAAAGCAACAACTATATTAAAAAGAAAAAAAATAAAGAGCAGTAGAACAGTTATGTATCCCCAAATGCCACCTGGAACAATAACATTAACCAAAGAGAAAGGCAAACTTTTCCAAAAATGGGCTTCTACAAGTGTATTCCAACTAAGAAAAACACAGTTTTCTAATTAGTCATTCACTATAGAGAGCAGGGGAGGCTAGGCTTGGTCAACGGAAGAGCCACTTGCAGTAAATGTCAGACATTTGAGAGCAGCAAGACATGAACAAATATATGTATTATATGTATTATGACTTTATGAAAGTGTACATTTCTTGCTTATCAGTGTATGTTTTATAATGTGCATGATAATACACATAGATACTTGGAACACTAACTGTGGGGTGCCCTTCCCAAAGAAATGTACCTTTAGAAACAAGACTACTGAGAGCAAATGTCATATTAATCAAAAATAGCAGGGTTATAACAATTATAGTTTAGTGAGAAGTGCTGAGAATTCTTTGTTAGAATTCTAATTTGATGAATATGTCCTGTCAGGGACCCTTGAATCACTGCTTCCACCTCCAGTAGCACCACTGGATTAGCTACCTGGAGTGGACATTGAACCACAAAAGCAGGAGTGGGTGGGCCATGCTGGGGTGAGCGCTTGCAAAGCCACCAGCCCAACCTGCTGTCTTCCTGAGCCTCTTGGAGTAGGGTGGGCCAGTGGCCTCAGGAAAACTTGCCGCAATCATGCCTGTGCCATTGCTGGGATCTGCACTAAGGCAGGGAACAGGGCACTGTGAGTTGCAAAATAAACCCAAAGAACTGCATGTGGCACCTGAGCCTTGGTTTGGCCACCCCTGATATAGATAATGATGAGGAACTTCCTATGATAGTTGTAATGTGAAGAGCGTATTCATATGGGTCTTCACTATAGACTGTGTTGAGTTGTAAGGCAAAACAACTGGAAGGCCACAAATTTCCCATCCCTAAAATGGAAGAAGGCATATTAAGTGTCCTGAGCCCAAACTATCAAGTGAAGGATGGGAAATCTGGCTGTACTGACCATAATTGACAGGAGTTGTGGTCCACCAATATTCAGACGTCACACATTTGCTATTCCACATTTTGGACCTGGTAGGTTAAAACTACCACGCTGAATAGTATCTGGAAACCAACTGGACACCAGTACAGTCAATGTAATCGGCATTATGTTAAAAAGAGCTGCCTTAAATGTTGTTTAATGGCAGCTATCCAAGGAGTTGGCATTCTGACAGCTGGTTTCTGAATCAGTTTTCATTTTTTTCTGAGGCAGCCCCATCCTATGGCATATATGACTACAGCAAGACCATTTTGTTCTTGGCATGTGGTCTACTATTGAATAGGCCCAATCTGCTAAAGTGAACAGTATAAATTCTGCAACACAGAGTATACTGGGTTAAAACTGAGTCCTCATAAATTATTGTGATTTCTCTCAGATATCCTTCTGTGAGAGATGTCAAACAAAAGTATGTGGCAGTAAGCAAAAGGTCGCCATCTTGGCTTAAGGAAAAATATTAAAAATCCATACCTGTGTAATATTTTTATTAGGCCAACTGAAAGATGTTTTTCTTTTGACCTTTGAGTTGGCTTAATAAAGATATTATATTAATATGTACAGTCATATCTTCTCCAGAATTCAGCAACAGAAGGAAAAAAAGAAATTAAGAAGATATTTTCCAGAAACATTTTTTCGACAATGGCATTTTATCATGCTCATTCCTGTAACTGACCTGCTTTTTTGTGTTAAATATTTAATCGTAAGAATGTGTGAGGAATAATACTAATATTTAATGCCAAACAATGTCTACTGAGGATGCTGAGGTTTCCAGAAAAAGCTCTCTTGATAAACAATTCAAGCAAATAACCCCTATTTTTCAGTCTTTCTGACAGCATTAAGGCAATTTCCGTGTGCTTTTAAAGCACCATTTTGAAATAAAAATGTTATATTTAGTAGCTATATTAATCCAGGACATTCATCTGCCACTTTTTACAGCAATGGCTTAAGCACTGTTTCTGTTTTTTGCAGATGCTGCAAAGAAATGAATTAAGGCTTGTATGTACTGCCAGGTTTTAATTTACACATTTGCTTTCAAGTTGACCAGTCTCTGGCAAATTCTGATTATACAGCTACAAATTCAGTTTATACCAATGCTATTGATTTTACTTCCTACTTCAAGCAGATTTATGTTAACAAAGAGGGAAGCTGAAAACAACAATAACTTCTAAATAAGATGGTTTGTTTAGATGATAAGGAATGGGCACTTAAATTTCTTCTGTCAAAAGAAAGCATTATTTTAAGCTAAATACATCTTATTTACTACATACTCAGTGGCTGTTTTACCCGCTGATCTTCCACACATGGCAACATGCTGAATTTTCAATACACAAACAGGCAGCATATTTGACTGGACATAGCTATCAGCTTCTGCTTGTGAACTGTTAAGCACATTCCCTTCTAAAACAAGGCAAGTTAAAACACCAGTTAATTATGAGTGAGCATTAAACAGAATTAAGTAATGCATCAACAGCATTCCTTTAAAAAGTATGGGATAGTTTCATGTTACTCAAAGATACTACCAGAAATTATCTGTAGTTGTTTAGCTGTTATTAACTATCAAGGGTGCTCAATATGGATTTCAATCTATATTAAGAAAGATAAAATGACAGGGAAATATGAACTCAAGTTTAAACACATCAGTCAAATTAGACAAATATAATTTTTACTTCAAATTCTTTCATGAGCTTGCTCTCTTACATAAATTAGAGCATACACCTGAATGTGTTAGCCCCTCTAAACACAAATGTGGGAATACTGAAGAAAAAAAATTGTTTACCATTCAAGGAGGAAACTCTAAAGGTACACTAATTAATTAAATACTGTTTCCATAGCTTGGGGGTATCTTAGAGGTAAATTAACATATCACTGACATTTCATTTCAAGTCACAACTGTACTTATTCTATCCAC